TCCGGGCGGCTGCTGGCCCCGGGCCCCTGCCAGCTTCTGGCCCCTGCCCTGCTTGGGGGATGCTGCAGCGGGCAGAGGGGAGGGAGATGCCGCCCCTGGGGGTGCCAGCTCCCTGCGGCACGGACCCATCCCTCGCAGGGTGCCCCCAGGAGCCTGGGCAGAGGCGGGGGGGGACCCCCTGCCCCAAACCTGCCCCAAACTCTGGCTCCCGGCGCGGTCCTGCCGGCTGAGCAGGCAGCAAGGGAGGGCAGGGGGGCGCAGGCGAGGTCGTAGAAAACCTGTTTATTTTATGAAAACGTCTAGAAAAGAGCAGGCGTTGCAGCCCTTGGATCAAACAGGTCCCCTGGGGGGTCACGGGGCGGCGGGAGCTGTGTCACAGCCCCAGCCCCGTGCGGGGGCCCCGTCCTCAAGCCCTCCGCCAGCACCGCGCTCCCGGTGCCGGCACCTCCCTCCCCTGCCAGCCGCGGCCGCGCTAGGCTGGCTGCTTCCACCGGAACGTCTGGATGGAGTCACCGGGAGCCATGGCCTCAATGAAGCCAACCTGTGGGTCGGAGATCCCGAAGGACACGTCCACAGGGGAGCTGTGGGGATGCGAGAGGGGACACAGGTCAGAGGGGGCAGCCGGGCTTCGAGCCGGGGTGCAGAGCTGAGCCACTCACCGGTTCAGGACCACCAGGACGACGGCGCCGTCGGGACGCAGGAAAGCCGAGTGCTCGAGGTCACACTGGCGGCACTTCTTGGAGACAGCCAGCCCCACGCGCTGCGAGCCCTCGGGGATGAACTTGCTGCAGGGACAAGCAGGGCCTGAGCCTGGTTGCCAGGATGGCAGCTGGAGCCGGCAGCGGGAGCCGGCCACCCCCGGCCCCGACCCACCTGAAGTGCCCCCGGGGGGAGAACATGGGCTGCTTGTAGAAGACGTCCTTGCTGCTGTCCACGATGACGGGGCTGTCCACGTAGTTCTTGCTCCAGTTGGGGCCCCCCTCCAGGTCCAGGGCCAGGTTCCAGTCGGTCCAGCCCGTCACGTAGTTGTTGAGGTTCTGCGGGGCAGGTGATGGCGCTGAGCCGTGGGCGGGCGTAGGGGGTGGCGGGCGCGTCAGCAGCCCCCGCCGAGCCCTACCGCCAGGGTGCTGTGGGGGCGTAGGGGGGGGGCGGGCCGTCCACCACCCCCCGCCGAGCCCTACCGTCAGGATGCTGTGGCTGTACTTGCTCCCGCGGTCCCAGCCGCCCAGCACCACCCTGGGCTCCCAGAAGTAGGAGCCGGCGGAGGCCTCCGTGGAGAGAAGGAAATAATCTGGGAAGAGGTGATGGGTGATGGAGAGCGTGAGGTCGATGGGCGCCAGGAAGTCCAGGTACCAGTGGATGCCGATGCCGCTGATGTAGCTGGCGGCCACAGGGTCTTTGAGAACCTGGCAGGAGAAAGGAGTCACCAGTGCCTAGGGCTGGGAGAGCCGCTGTGGGGCCGGGAGAGCCGCCATGGGGCTGGGAGAGCCTCCCTGGGGTCGGGAGAGCTGCTGTGGGGCCAGGAGAGCAGCTGTGGGCCCAGGAGAGCCACCGTGGGGCCGGGAGAGCCACTGTGGGGACTCACCACCTGGGCCCAGTAGGGCAGCATCACCCTCTGGTCGTCCAGGATGATGAGCCGGACATGGCGGTGGGAGCTGTTGGCCAGCGCGGGGCCCAGGTCCTGTGCGATGAAGTCCCGCTGGTGCTCGGGGGAGAAGCCCAGGCACTGGAAGGGGTAGAAGACGATCTCGCCGGCTGTGGGCTCGTTCCCTGCCGTCACCGCCCAGAAGGTCAGGTTGTGCTTGCCGTATTCGTCCAGGAACCTGGGCGCGGGGGCAGATGGTGAACGGCCCCGTTGCGCCAGCGACAGCCGCAGCCCCGGGCACGGCAACCTCAGCGCCCACTGCGCTCCCGCAGCCCCTCACCGGATAAAGTACTTGGCCCAGGCCCGGTGGTACTTGTCCCCGGGGCTGCCCTTCAGTGTCCCTCTCCCCGTCATCGCGCCGTTAGTCTTCATCCAGGTCGGGGAGGTCCAGGGGCTGGCGTAGAGCGACAGCGGCCGCTTGGCCACCGCCTGGGCTGCCCGGAGGATGGGGATCTGCGGAGAACCAGGATGACGGTGAGCTCTCTGTGTCTGCCCCAGCACCGGCATGGCAGGCGGCAGGATGAGTCCTCTCCCTCCCCATCCGCAGGAAGGTGCTCCCCTTCCCCATCCCATCCCATCCACGCTGCAGCCCTGGCGCCTCGGGCTCGCCCTGCGGGACTCACCTTCATCCGCGTGTCCTCCTCCGTCAGGTTGAAGTGCTTCAGCCCGAAGTCACCCTCCACGTCAGCATAGGTGTACAGGCGGACGGAGAAGTCGGTGCTGGCCATGGGGACGCGCACGAGGTTGTACTCGATGCCTGGGGACAGGGTGGGCGGTGATGGGGGGTATTCGGGGGGGTGCAGCCCCTCGGCATGAGTCTCAGCAGCCAGACCCCGAACAGGGGAGGCCGGACAGACCGGCCCCGTCACCCAGCAGCATCGCCATGCTCCGGGCTCACCTTCCTCGGAGAAATAGGAGCGGAGCAGGTGGTTCTGGGCATCCTTGGACAGGGACTGGATGTTGATGGCAGCCGCGTCAGTCATGGAGCCACCAAAACCCTTCACCTTCTGGTACCGCTGCGCCGTGTCCAGGGTGAGATGGAAATCTGGGGGGGGACAAACATCGTCGCAGCCGCTGCGCAGGGATGGACTCTGCTTGCCAGTGCGCAGGCAGGCATCCAGCCGCGGCGGGTACCTGGGGTCTTGGCGTTGCGCTGGAAGCTCCCCTCACTGCGCTCCAGCCGCTTGCCGGCCTTGCTGCTCTCGTACTTGATGTAGGTGCCCGGGGCCGGCAGGACCACGGGGTCCAGCGTGTCGCAGTACGTGGCGCTGCACGCGCACACCAGCGAGCCGTGACCGAAGTCCCTGGCATCGCAGGGACGGCCGCCTGCGGCAGGAGGAGAGACTGGGCAGGCACCGAGGGCTGCGGCAGGAGCCCAGCTCACCCCTTCCACCCACCACGGACACCGAACCCACGGCTTTGCCACCCCAAACTGCTGACCTCCGCAGCCCTCGGCTCGGGGACACGGCGCCAGCACTTACCTGCTGCCTGCAACGCTGCCTGCGCCAGCAGGAGCCAGCCCAGGACACCAGCGCACCCAGGCCCCATGGCACGTCTGCTGCAGCGCAGCTCCGACGGACGCTGATGGCAAGCACCAGGGCTGGGAGCAGGGCAGCAGATGTCAGCAACCAGCTCCTCCTGCCCCGTCCCAGCCCTGCACAGGGACGGAGACCCAGGCCAGGGACAGCCCCAGCATCCCCCTGCCCGGGAGCCTCGGGGGGCACCAGGACTCCCTGCCAGGGCTGAGCCCCCACCGTCCTGCCCGCTCCCTGCAGCCCCAGCCCAGCCTTCACCTTCCCTCCCGTCCCACCGGTGCCAACGGACGGCTCCGGCCGCATCCCAGCTGCGGGTGCAGCCCCCCGGGCGTGTGCCGCCCCGCACCCACCGGCCCGGCATTCCCAGCCGCCCACGCCAGCTGTACCCGGCAGCTCAGTTCACTCCCATTGCCTCCCTCCCACTCCTTCTCCGTCCTTGCTTGTCCCACGGCTGTGCCGTGCCATGCCGCGCTGCGCCACGCCGTGCCCCTCCACGCGTCCCCCGAGTAACAGCCGGGAGCAAACAGCTCGACGCTCCCAACCCCATGACCGTGGCAGCCGGGGCTTGCCCAGCCACAGTAGTTTGGGGCTCGATCCCCTGGCGCAGAGGGGTCCTGCATCTCCCTGCTCTCTGCGGGTGCTCCCACCCTGCCCCGTCCTTCCCGTGATGCCGGGCAAGGAGCTTCTCGACGAGGGCACGGGAGCCACCTCCGCACCTCGGGACCCCGGTGCCAGGCTGCTGCCCCTGGGCAGGGGGAGGCGAGGGTCGGACGGTGCCAGCTCGCTGCTCCGAGACCGTGCGGGATGGGGACCGGGGCCAGGCAGGCTCTCCCGCACGTATCTCTCCCGCAAGCATCGCCTCCCGCTCCCTGCCCGGGGGGCGATGCCCAGCACCACGGACATGGCCTCAGCGTGGTCTGCTCTCCGGGGCCATCCCCATCCCCACTGGCTGATAAAGCGGCTCCGGACCCGGGGTACTCACCTGCTGCCAGAAAATCCTCTCGCTGCGTCTCTGCGGGGCAGCGGGGCGGCAGGACCTGCTTTCCGGCGGCGCGTGGTAGGAGGTGACGGCGTCTGGCGGAGCAGGAAAGGTGAGTCTGGGAGAGGACAGCTCATGGGACTCTGTGCATGTGAAGAGGAGCCCGGGGAAAATTTTGCAACCTCAACTCCGATGAGAGCTTTCAACACTCACCGCAGCATTTGCAAAGCTCTCCTGAAACCTGGCTGAGTGGCCAGAGGGAAGGCGGGGGTGGGGGGGGAGCGGGGGGCCCGCCAGCCCCCCAAGGGCCTCCGGCGCCCCAGACAGGACCCCCTG